CAGAAATACTGGTTTTTGATTGTTTATTACATAATGCACCAGATTATTACACTATCACATTTTGTAATAATTGCCGCAAAATATAATAACGTTATTACATAATGCTTTAAAGACTTATTACATTTTGCGTCAGTTATTACATAATACAGTTTTAGTGTGAGTTCATTACATTTTGAAGCCTGATTTTATTACATTATTACATAATGTGTTGCTATCACAAAATGAGGTCTTACAGGGCACAGTGCCACTGCAGGAGAGACGTGTGAAATTAAAAAAATCTGTCCTACATCAGTTATAGGCAGAAATAATGTGYAGATGTTGCATTTCCATGAGGATTAGACAACCAGACCAAATGCTGCGTGGTATAGAGAGTCGGTCCGCTACATTCAGTATTCTTCAGCCGGCACATGACTGGGATAGAAGTGCTGAAAAACAGAATGTATCTGAGGGATGAGAYGCTCATAATCTGAGGTGGGATCATTTAATTTGGACATTTGAAGTAAACTTTGAAATGCTTCAAACTGTTTTTACTCATGTCATGTGCCAACAGATCAAATTGGACTCAGAGATGAAAAAAGCTGCTTTGAAGCAGTAAACAGAGATGGGAGATATCCTGCTGTTGGAAGTACAGTAGCACCAGGAGACAAAATATGAAAAATTTGTGAACCACTGATTTAAAGAGCTCCAGTAGGTTTGTTATCTCAAAGCCATGTTCTCTGACAGTCAGGAGGCTGAAATCCACAGAAAGCAAACTGGCCTTTCATGGCTGACAGGCTTTATTTAYGTATGTTATTACTGGATCTAATCATCAAACCAAAGGGAGGAGAAGAAATCATTTAATATTTCCTGAATAAAGTCATTCTTGGAATCCATTCATTTTTAAATAAGAATGACTGAAATTAAACCAAGAACATTAAATCCTGCACATCAGTAAACACTACAGACATTTTAGTGTTAACACTGGGGGGCACAGAAGGACATTCGGGGTCCAGTTTTCTTTTCCATTACAGTATGTTGCCCATACTGCTGCTCACCAGGCCTTTGATGTTGGTGACAGGGCGAACATCATGCAGCTGTTTTCTTCGATCAATAAACGTGGCCAGCCTCGATGTGTCCAGTGGCATTTTGGAGTACTCTCCACCTTGGGCGCCCCCACGCCCCACCCACGGGTGTTGGAGACAGGAAGTAGCACTGGGTCTCTTCCTGGGATCCTGCTGCAGCACTGACAACACAAAGTCCCTGGCAGCCTGGCTCACATTGCAGAAATATTCCTCTGGGAAGCAGAAGTCCAGGCGGCAGATGTTGACGCACGTCTCTTCTGGGGACTCGTCCAAAAACGGGGAAACCCCGCTGAGCATCACGTAGGCCAACACGCCCACACTCCACAGGTCCGTCGCTACAGACACCGGAGTACCTCGGATCAGCTCGGGGGCAGCGAATTCGGGGTTTCCGAGCAAGAGGTGCACGTATTGGCGCTGAGCAGAAAGCTGCACGGCATCACCGAGGTCGATGAGTTTCACCGACGGAGTGGCTGTGCGAAGGTCCACCATAATGTTTTCAGGCTGCAAAGCAGAGTGGGAAGATTCAGGCTCAAATCAACAGAAAAACAAAAACAAAAATCACAGATGGGAGGAAGCTGAGTTAGTAAAGCTTGATAGTAAACAGTAAACATGTTAGGATGAAACTTACTGTATTTATTCATGTATAATACAACCCCCCTTTTTTGAGCTTAAAAAGCATAAAAAAATTTAATCCTCAAATTACCTCCAATTTCAAACAGATTTCAAGATTTTTCAGTCTTTGCAGTCTTTATACATATCAGTAAAATGATCATTGGACTGTTCGTTTTATTTTAACAACATATGTAATAAAAGGTATTTTGACAACAAATATATATCAGCTGTAGCAGCATCATATGAATTCTGGCATTTTACACATAGTCCACCAGGAGGCACCAACACAAAAGTCAGAGACTTCACATGAGATATGAGACCATCTTGTGGGGGAAAAACAGATTACTTCCTACTCACGAGCGCACCCTCTGGTGGGGAAACTTTTTTCAGGGATACAAACTTTTTCAGMACACCGGTAGACGGCAGCCATTACAGATGAACATGTGTTTGTTGTTGTTCCAGGAGCGGCCCAGTCACACGCTAATGTCATTAGTTTGTTATCATTACTAAGGTACAGGACTGCTTTTTGCCCCCTTTTTTTCACATCATGTCATCTGCCTGGATCTGTTTTTATCTCACTCTGAAAAACGGAAGAGTGTCAGAGGTAAGCTTGCTTCAACTGCTTTTCACGTCATGGTCTCATTTCCAGACTCAGGCATTTTGTGAATGAAGCCGATATTTCAGTTAAAATACATAAATAAAAACATTTATCCGAGTATAGCACTACCCCCCAACTTTATGGATGATTTTATGGATTTAATTTTACGTATTATACGTGAATAAATAAGGTAAGTCTTGGATGAAAAAGGTAGATATTCATATTCAGACTTTGAGGTTTTAGGTTGTCGTAGATAAATGTCAGATTGTTCAATGGGAAAAAAATCTAAAGAAAATCTTTGGTCTTGAGTGTAAATTCATAGTCTATCAGTGTTTATCTATCAGGATCACAAACTGATTTCTCTCTCAAGACCAACGACGTCCTTCACAAATATCAAAAGTGACAGACATTTTGTGGAAACATGCTGCATAGACGTATATATATACA